GGGGTAGGGAGTGTGTGTGGGTATCTCATTATGTTGCCCAGGCTGGTCTGCAACTCCTGGCCTCAAGCCATCCTCCCCCCTTGGCCTCTCAAAGTGCTGAAATTACAGGTGTGAGCCACCACACAGGGCCTGGCTGTGATTCTGTAGTCCCCTGCCCCTAGTCTCTGCGTCTCCCCAGACAGCATTCATGCCACTGTGTAACATCCAGACAGAGCTTCAGAGAATAGAAGTTCCTTCTCACAGGACCCCCCCACCCCGCCCCATTACTTGTTTCCCAAGGTGACACCTTTTGAGGGTCAAGACATTCCAGAAGCCTGGGAGAAAAACAGAGTTCATCCCTGGATTTCAGAACACAGTGCTGCCCTCCCTCCCACCCAAGCCCTAATAACTGTATGAGTGAGGCAGCCGTGCCTCCCAAGCCTGTCGATTTAGGATCGCATCTCGGCCTCCTGAACAAGATGATGGATTCGGACACTCGGAACATAAATTACTTCCTCTTTCATCCTTGATGGAGTGTCAAAGAAAAGAACATTTTTATTAATTTAGTCCCCTCGCCCCACATTCCCCCTCGCCCAGCTCTTCATCGCAACTCTCGCACCTCTCGTTTTCTCTAAAATTGCTTCTTTTTGTCATTTATCGCCTTTTTAGGCAAGAAAAAAACCAAGTTAAAAAAAAATTCGTCACTGTCCAGTGAGGCAATGGCGGTAAAACAGCACATTTCTGCAACCCCTCTGCTGCCTTTGGGACCATGAGACGGGAGGCGGGAGGCAAAACCTCCCAGAAGCTGGTAAACTGGAGGAGAGGACAGAGAATTTGTTTTAGAGTTTGTTTTGTTTGCCCCCATGCTAAATTCCAACCTGTGCAAAGCCAACCAGGGCTACTAATCCTTTCCAACCTAATCTTGGGACTGAGATTTGTCCTAAAAGCGCCGCGGGCATGGATCTGGAGGCGGCGCTCTGCCGCAGCCTCCGCAGGGCCTGGCTGGTGGAAACACTCCACCTGCTGGTTTCTGTTTCTGCGGCTGCCGTTTGCACGACTGCAAGTCTCTCACCTGCCTTCAGAATTGAGGCTGTACCATGAATTTGGCTACGGCCACAATATATCCAAACCACACCTATTTCACTTTTTTTTTTTTAAATATAATAAATACAGTGAAGAAAACGGGAAATCTTCAAGAAAGAGTCTAAAGAAAAGACAGTTGACCCTCCGGGGTTTCCATCGAATGCCGCATGGTCTCTGGATGAACGTCTTGAGGAGGTTGTAGTTGTGTTCGTATCTGTAAGTCCCCTTCTCTCTTTCGTGCTCTCTTTAGATGGAAACCTCATACTCTCTGGTTTCCTGCAAGAGAGAGAAGCACAGAATTGTCACACCGTGTGCAGTAGAGGAACACACTGATGGTTCCAGCTTTTCACATCTTCCTGTGACCATGCCCTTGGCTGTGACTTTGCAGTGCCCTGACCCTGCCTCGCTTTTGCCAACGATTTATGGGGAAACGGCACATGCCAGCTGCTGGAAAAGTGTACGGGTGCTTCTTTTTTCTGTCTGCTCCTCTGTCATCCCCATGAACAGACCTCATTCTGCAGGCCTTTAATCCCTACAGAAAGATGAAGGACACACAGAGAACTGACCCAACAGGCCAATGCCAGGACTACCACCCTGCTGAGATTAGATTAAGACACTGCCCTACAGACAGATGAGCAAATTAATGCTGGCTGCTTTCAGCCACTGAATTTTGGGATTGTCTTTTACTCTACTGATGAAGTTTTAATAACGTCTCGTCTTGAAACATGCCTCTTTTCATCAGCCTGACTTTTAGTCAAGATTTGTAAGTAAGCAACAAGAATGAAAAATCACGTATGCCCCTGCAAAGACGGCAGGGTGTGTGGGCGGCTACAAGTTTGATTTCTCTAATCGTTATGCAGTGTGCATAATGTAGTCTAAGCCCCAGGGACAAGGAGCTGAGACATGTAAGATGTCATAGGTCAGCCCTGGAAGTGGTCACTGTCGCACACTTTAAGACAGGTTTCTAGTTCCTGCTGAGTCAACACAGATGTGCAATCACATCTGTGCTATGGGAGGTGTGGTGCTGGGCTGCCCCCCACTGCAGCATTCCCGGCCTTGTGTGGGTCCCTCCACTGAAGGGTGTGCAGGACCTGGGACTTGATTCCAGCCAATAGAATACTACGGTGCTAGGATGTCACTTCTGTGTATGTGACACAGGACTGTGACTTGTCTTACAAGGAGCCTCTCCCTCCTCCTCTCTCTCTGTCTGTCTTGCTGTGAGCTCCTCCTGAGAGAGGCCCACATGGAAAGGAACTGAAGCTGGCCTCTAGATGACAGCCTGCAAGAAACCGAGACCCTCCTTCTAACCACCTGCAGGGAACTGAAGGCCATGAGCAACTGCATGAACTTGGGAGTTCCCTGGTCCAGCCTCAGAGGAGACCATAGCCCAAGCTGATGCCTGGATGTAGCCTGTGAACCCTGACGCAGAGAACTCACCTAAATGGAACCT